GACCGCAACGGTGTTCCTCTCGAGCCTTCTTGTGCTCTCTGGCTTTGTTGGTTTCAGCCATGATTGACCAAGGGGCACGTTCCTGAAACACCGGAGACAGTCCCTCACCAGAAAAGGTCCCGACAGCTACCTGGTCCGTCTCTACCTTTCGTGTTTCCCCGCTCAAGTGAGTATCACGCAGCGGTAAATAATTAGTGCAAAGGACATACTTTTGTACTACATGCTACCATATACATTTGGCTCAAGTGATGAAAAGGAAGCACGCTTATGGTCGACCGCGCTGCTCGCTGACTCAAAGGTTATCAGCCGTAGCGTTCTGCTGCGAGCTGAGCTACGGGACTACCACTGGATATCAGCGAAAGGGCATCCTACCTGGCTGGCTATTGCCTTAGATCCCCGACGGCCAACCTACAATGATGCCAAGTTCGGAAGGAATGAGTGGAACGACTTATTCGTTTGCTGCACCAGCTGGATCCAGCTGGGGCATCTCAGCCGACACTTGATGCGCAAAGGAATGCCAGTGCTGAATCTCAAGGCGAATCGATCATTACAACGCCGACAGGTTCACAAGTGTCTGGGCGCGAGGCCGTTGAAGAAGTACCAATGTCACGAGGACAGCAAGACCCAAGTTGCGTCCAATGGCAAGATCCCCGAGGCCAAGGAACACATCCCAACATCCCTCGCCAAAGGGCGAGCCCAGATCCAATGAAAAGCATCAGCAAAGAGAGGGAAGGAGGCATCGCCATCCTGCGGAATGCCGTTGGCGCCCGCGGACGTGCCAAGTGACAAATCCCGTGCAACAGCATCAAGAGAAGCACGCCTACGGGAAGAATTGAGAGTTTCAAGGACGCTCTATGACGTTGTGAAGGATGAATGCGCTGCTACCAGGGCAAACATAGAGGAGCTCAAGTACGACGCTGACAGACGCATGTATCAAGCAACAGTACACTGTAATCATCTTGGAACGATCATCCCAGAGCTGAGACAAGAAGATGAAGGAGCAACTTGTCGCATGGAAGAATTGGAGAGAAGGTTGGGCCTTGCGCAAGAGATATCACATACCTCAAGAGCATGGCAACTTGGAGTCTTCAGAAGCAACGCAGATGGCATCTACAATGTCAGACATTAATGATAGGCCGTTTCAGCAGCGCGGCCCAGGTGGCAATGGTGCAAGCTGGCAAGCGAGACTGTCACCCAGCGTGCGAACTACTGCCAGACTTTGGGATCGTTTGCTCACGTTGTTGAGCCCATGCCAACAGATAAATTCCAAAGAGGTTGCCGGTGAGAACCTCCTGGTAGCCCATTTACAAACCTGGTAGCCATTAATTTGCGCCCGCTGGCCCCACTGAATCAGTTTTGGTATGGGTCCTCGCCTTTGAAATTGTCAACCTTCCTCCTGGAGAACCCACGCGCAAGAGCCGCGGGAAACATGCGCAAAAAGTGGAGCCTGCTTAACAAGGATACGGCCAAACTAAGCACATTGTCTCGAGCAAGGCGGAAACATGGCGGGAGGATGCAGCGGCAGGAGGAGGAGGAGGAGGAGGGGGAGGGGGAGGAGGTGGAGCAGTAGCACCAGCAGGGGCAGGAACAGGAGCAGGGAGGGGGAGGCGTAGTATTAGTAGGTAGTAGTAGTAGTAGTAGTAATAGTAGTAGTAATTAGTATTAGTATTAGTATTAGTATTAGTATTAGTATTAGTAGTAGTAATTAGTAGTAGTAGTAGCAGTAGTAGTAGTAGTAGTAATTAGTAGTAGTAGTTGTTGGTAGTAGTAGTAGTAGTAGTAGTAGTATAGGTAGTAGGTAGTAGGTAGTAGGTAGTAGGTAGCAGGTAGCAGGTAGTGGGTAGTGGGTAGTGGGTAGTGGGTAGTGGTAGTGGTAGTAGTAGTAGTAGTAGTCGTAGTCGTAGTGGTAGTACTAGTGGTAGTAGTAGTAGTAGTAGTAGTAGAAGCAGAAGTAGAAGCAGTAGTAGAAGCAGTCGGTAGCAGTAGATAGCAGAAGAAAGCAGCAGCAACAGCTGGTGGTGGCGGTGGTGGTGGTCGTGGTGGCAGTGGCAGTGGTGGTGGTAGCGGTGGTAGTAGTAGTTGTTGTTGTGGTGGTTGTTTTTTGTTTTGGTTGTTGGTAGAAACAAAAGCAGCTGCCCAACATAGTTGTCATAAGTCTGGAACTCAAGGGGCAGGTTAGGGATACGGTTGAAGGTTTGAGGACATGTTGGTTTCGTAAGTAGGTGGATTTGTTGGACTTGTTTCGAAGTCTGGCCTGGTCCGTTTTTATTGTCTTGGAGGTGTTGTTCTGGAGTCTGGAGGGGGGTCAAAAAACAACGTTGGGGCTGCAGAGGGGGTAGAGGCAACAAGACCTTTTGAGTGGGGTCCCAAAACCAACAAGGCAGCTGCAGTTTTCCTTTCTAGGATGTGGTAAAGGTTGCAAGTAGAAGTTTTACAGAGGTGTGCTACCACTACTACTGCTACTGCTGCTACTACGACGACCACCACTACCACCACCACCACCACGACTACTACTACCAGCGGTACCAGTACTAGTACCACTAGTTCTAGTACTAGTTCTAGTACTAGTACCACTACTACTACTACTACTACTACTACCACTACTCCTACCACTACCGCTACCGCTACCGCTACCGCTACCGCTACTACTACTACTACTACTACTACTAGTACTACTCCTCCTCCTCCTACTACTAGTACTAGTACTAGTACTGGTATTTACTACTGCCGCTGCTGCTGCTGCTGCTACTAGTAGTGCAACTGGTGCTACTACTACTACCACTACTACCACCACCACTGCCACTACGACTACCCCTACCACTACCACTACCACTACTACTACCCCTACTACTACTACTACCACTACGTCGCCGACTACTACTTGTTCTAGTACCACTAGTACTACCACTACTAGAAACATTACCACTGATGGTAAAAGTGCTTGTTGGCTAGTTGTTTTCGGGAGGGGGTGGTTAACAAGGTTTCACATCCTTTCGGCCTCCCGTATTTGTGTGAGCAGGCCACGCGATGCAGGTTTCCTGTTGCGACGTTCCCGAAAAAAGTGTGTTTCCGTTCTTTGTGGCAGTAGACCCACTGGCAAACTCTATTCCGCAGCCTGGCATGCTTCGTCCATTGACTTTGGCGTGCTTCGTCCATTGGCTCTTCACATGCTTGACGTCGCAAGCCTGAGTGGACTATCTCTGCGCAACTTTCTTGCGTCGGCCGACCACCAGCTGAGCTGCAACTAACAAGTATCAAGTGAGCTGCGGCCACAATCATACACACAGCCACCAAAAATAGAACCCGCCGACCTTGTTTGCGCCCAAGTGTCGGGTGACCCGGCCGCAGGGGCAGGTGGAGTCACCGGTGACCCCATCCCCCGCTCCATGCTGCTGCGGTGTCCACGACGTACTGTGGCGCGCTCCAGGCGCGAACGAACATCACTTGTCCCCCACATGTAAACGAACATCAACATGTTGGTCAACAAACGCGGAAAAGCAAAACGTGCAGCGTTCGAAAACAACTGCACGCCTCTGGGAGGCCCATATGGCCGTGACATCAAATAAAAACAACGACCTGGCTGCAGTTTTTGTTTGTACCTTGTTGTTGTTGTCTTTGTTGTTGTTGTTGTTGTTGGAAGCAAAACCAGCCGCCCAACATTGTCACATGTTGTAACTTTTGGAACTTCAAGGCGACAAGGTATGCGGTTGAAGGTTTGGGCGAATGTTGGTTTCCTAAGTAGGACTTGTTTCACTGAAGTCTGGGCTGATCCGATTTTAGTGTTCTTGAAGTGTTGTTGTTCTGGGGGGGGTCCAAAAAACAACAATGGGGCTGCAGTCTGAGTTTCTAGGCGTGGGTAAAGAAAACAACACCTTCTGAGGGGTCGAAAAGTAACAATGGGGCTGCAGACCCCTACCACCGCTATCGCTACCACTGCCACTGCCCTTGCCACTAACACTACCACTATCACTACTCCTACTACTATTACTCCTGCTACTCCTACTACTACTACTACTACTACTTCTACCACCACTACTACCACTACAACAACAACTACTGCTGCTGCTGCTACTACTACTGCTACGCCTCCTATTACTACTACTGCTACTACTTCTACTCCTACTACTACTACTACTACGACTACTTCTATTTGCCATAGGCTTTTTATATCATGAATGCTTTTTGCGCCATAACTTACAGATATTAAATTAATGCCTCTGGCAAATAAAAAGTGCATGATCTTTAATCTACATTTTTATCTACGGGTGCTACTACTACTACTACTACAACTACTACTACTACTACTACTACTACTACTACCTACTACTACTAACTACTACTAACTACTACTAACTACTACTAACTACTACTACTACCACCACCACCACCACTACTACTGCTGCTGCTGCTACTACGACGACTACTGCTCCTACTCCTGCTCCTACTGCTGCTGCTCCTCGGTCTACTGCTACTGCTACGACGACGACTACCACTAGTACTAGCACCACTAGGACTAGCACTAGTACAAACACTGCCACTAGTGGTAAAAGTACTTGTACTTGTTGGCTGGTTGTTTTCGCGGGGGTCAAAAAACTACGACGGGGTTGCAGATTTTGTTTCTACCCTTTGTGAAGACAAAGGAAGAAGATATGTTGTAACGGGGCTGCAGTTTTTGTTTGTACCTTATTGTTGTTGTCGCCCTTGGAGTCGTAGTCCTAGTCGTCGGCCGATTGTCACTTGTCACCACGTTGTCAGACCATGGAATGGGGCAACTAAGCGGGCTGTGCTGTGTGCGGGGTAATTAGGGGCTTACCTTACCCTTCCCCGCACCCCCGCGCAAACGCCAGAAACAGGTTCAACAAGGTGTCCGGCTCCTAACCTCAAAACACCTCCAGGACTGGCAAGGGTTGAAAATGTTTGGTTTGATGGATGCTCATGGCTGCAGCAGCAAGCTCAGACGTAGTGTTCCCTTCCATTTGTGCGAGGGATCCACTTGGGTCATGATGCTGGATGCCAAGTCCAGAGAGATGGCAGGGCGATCCTTCATGCAGCCATCTACACAAGTCAGTGAAGTGACTGATACCAGGATGGAGGCGATTCTCTTGAAGATTGAAGAAACACACCGGCAACATCAACAGACATTGTTGCAAGTGCTTTCCACTGTGCAAAACTTGAGTGCAACGGTGTCTTGCATGCATTGAGAATACAAGGGGTCAGTTTGTTTTCTAGTTTCATGGTATAGAACATCTAGAACAAAGTCGATCACAGCGACATCCTGAGGGAGTGCCTTCCCGACACTCGGTCCCAAGAATGAGCGATCCAATTGGCACTATCAAATCCCCAGAGCGGCATTCTGTCCGAAAGCGCCTTGCCTTCATTGTCCCGTGAAAATCAAAACGGTTGATGCAGGTGGACAGATGTATTGGCGATTGTTACTAACATCTCCACCTCTGAGGAAATCAGGCCCAACTTCGTCACCATCACAAACACCTGGGAGAGTTCCTAGCTTTTTTGAAATGCAAAGTGCAGTGCTCCGTGAACTTGGTGCTCTTTATGACGCTGGGCGATTCAGAGTTGACTGAGTCTATTGATGGTGGGGCTGCTCAAGGCAAACACATCCATAGACCGGGACCCCTGTCAACACCATCTAAGATTGAGATTGCATTCTTCTAAAGCAATTTGGATCGATTGGCCTTTTTCTAAGGATTCATCGCAGGCTGGGGATGCAGGCCGCTCAGGGCAATCCGCAAGCTTTCACACCACATGCTCATTCGACGAGGGTGGGGCTTCAATCGTTCCAGTACCACGCCCCCGCACATTCCTCCAGGACTGGAAGTGCAAAAGTAAAAGCAGTCTGCAACAGTTTAATAAGTGTTTTCTATTCCACCTGATGCCACGGTAAGACTGCGTACGGTTTTGACAAGGAGGATGGGCCGCAGGAGTCTTTGCCTGGCATGATTCGTGAAGACCGTCACTTGAGCCTTCCAAGGCCAAATCGTGGATCTCACATGGGATCCATCAGCAAGACGGCACAGGTCGGTCTTCAGATTTTCAGATTTCAACTCGACAAGAACGTTATGTAGACAAGCAAGACAAAAACAGAGAGAGAGAGACTGCTTGATAGCGCACATGGCCTCAATTATGACAGTCGAACACGTCAGGCACAAATCTTGGAGTCGCATTCCAATTTGTCTCCTGTGGTGGACGAAGTTGACAGAACCCGCAGTGTGAGGCATGGGCCATGAGTGCTTGGACTTAGACTTAAACAATCTGAGCAAGAGTGGGCGTACAACAGTCGAGAGAGAGAGAGAAAGATGAGAAAGTACATTGACATGACAAACGGCCACTGGCAACTTGACACCAAGTGATTCCGATGTTTCTGACGCCCAGTGTAAGAGGATGATGGCAGACCATCCAGTCTTGCTGCACCTTCTGATTGGGATACCAGCGCTTTGTGACGTGGCGTCAGCGATAATTCTGGGTTGGAAGTACCCGAATTTGAGCTTCAATGGATTCACGGTGGCAACTTTGCTGATCTACAGTGTGTTGGCCACGTTCTGCGTCTTCATGCTGGGAAATGCCCTCAGGCCGGCAAAGCTGTTGTTTAGGCCTTGTTCTGCTGTTCGGCTTGGGTTTGCGCTGAAGTCGACTGGCAGGTCATCCGACCTGCATTTAGCCACCACACGACTCCACATTTTCGTTTCGGATTTCAAGATTCGCTGGAGCGAAGTATCAGGCCGCGTTTGGCGAATGCGTTGAGCGTCCAACTCCGAGCTTAGATTCAATGCACCCGCAGGCGAAGGAAACATGTTGAGAGATAGTGGTCCTTCCCCTGCGGTGTGTTTGGTCCATACCCAACTGTCAGTGCCGCATGGAGAGAGGAAGAGATAGGCTTCAATGCAAGTTCGTCAAGGTTGAATCGGTTTATTCATAATTGTTTGTATTCTTTTCTCCGCCAGGCCAAGAATGGCGAAAGTACCTCGCGGCCTGGTGCTCGATGTTGCTCCTTTTTGTGGCGACTCAAGCGCTGGAGACAAACTTTGTCAACCATACCGCGAATGGGGACGACATGCTTTTTTGGGCTACTCTGAATCAGGATGCCTGCAGTTTTTTTCAACATTTTGCTCATGTTTTCCCCTTGAGAGGCAAAATTGCGCGCATTTTGCAGGGCAAGAGTTTTCCTTGCGGGTATAAACTAGTCTATTTGCCTCTTTCTCCAGGCCATCTCTGTGGTCAGCTTCTCCATCTCCAGCGCGGTGATCTTTTTGTCAGCATATGTTCAGAGTCACCTTCTGTTAGGATTGGACAAGAGCCTGGATTGCTGGTGTTGCGCCTTGGGCCTCAAATTAAGTTTGTCTTTTGGTGGGTGCTTTTTTTCAATTTCATTTCAGTTTCTTGATGTTCTTGGACCGCTCTGTCTCAAGGTCAGATAGTGAATCACATGAACTTCCCGGTTGGCGTTGAGAGTTGGAATGCCATGCAAGCCTTGTTGAAGTGCGTCGGCCGAGAACTGGCGGGGAGCTTTGTGGCTTTGCAAGGCCTTGCATCCATTGGCTTCATGTACTTCTTGGCCCTCTGGCTAAAACAAATGGAACATGAGGCTAATAACGATGCATCTTCTTTTTTTGGATGCGGGCTTCCCCATCCATGTTTTTTCAATGCGACAAGTGAAGATGAAGCTTTGAGGTGAGTGGCGTAACTATGGCCTTCCGTGCTGAGTTCCAGTTCATGCCTTTCTTCATCGAGTGTTTGTCCTCTTTGCCGCTGCCCTTCCTTTTCTTGCTCGGGATGCGTGTTTGCGCCCACGGTGCCGACTTGACGGAGAAATGTCGGGCTATGCCGGCTTTCGTGAATCAGATCCCAACCAATGTGCTGATTGACGTGGAACGACAGTACTTGGTGCGCTTCATAGCAGTCACTCCACAGCAACAACACCCGCTAGGCCCGCTAGGCTGACCCCCGGGTAGACTATACTAGACTTCTGCATCAAAGTGAAACTCCTCCAACCTAATAGCGATGGCCTCAAACCTACTTTACTAGCGATGGCATCATCCAACCTACTAGCGATGGCCTCCAACCAAATAGTAAAAAATAGTAAAAGCGATGGCCTCCAACCTAAAGAAAGCTAACATATGAAGCAAACGAATTCGAAGGCCCATGGTGATCCACGATCTTTTGCCCGTCAGCCTATCGGTGTGGCTCAGGACAGCTCGCCAGGCTTCACGGTCAGGGATGTGAAACTCACCCGTGAGGTATTCTTCAAGCAAGTCTACATTTTTGTTGGACTGGTCTCTGGCCTCATTAGTGTTTTATCTCGTTTGTACATGTAATTAGTTAGTCCAGAAATCTCCGGACCTGTTTCGCTTCGAAGGGCTTGAAAAGACTTTGAACGCTTCCATGCATTTCATCCATTTGGAATGCCCAACACATCCGCATAAGAGATTCTGACTGCATAGTTTGAAGTTATTTCCTTTCCCTGGACAAGGCTCTGCTAAGCATGGGCCGATTTGTCCATTTCCGTAGTCTCGAAGGATCATTGGAGGTACATTCCTCCTTTTTCCTCGGACATCCCATCGAGACCCCATAGAACCTGCCTTCCTTAGCGTGAGCAGGGCCATTGATGGAGAGCCTCGTGGGTTCCGTGCATCATCTTGCCCGAACTGTCATCTCATAAAGATCAAAAAGGGCCTTGCTTGGCGCCCCCCCCAAGGCATAATGCGGAGGCATAATGCGGAGAGCACGCATTTATTTTACATGTTGTTTGATGACATGGTGCACATCAACTTTCCGCAGCGTATCATCCCAAATTGCTTTCCGCGAGTGAGCAATGGATGTGGGCTTGCTGGACCGTCCGACCATCTAGTTCTCACTGAAAAGTCCCCGTCTTGCGAAAACCGTTCTAGTCTCCTTTTTGAGGGAAAAGGAAAAGGTAAAATTGCAGAAGAATAAAGAAGGATAAAGAAGGTATGGGCCGGCGGACATGTGCACAGCCGGTTTCCAGTGTAAGGTGTATCCATCGTTTTACCTTCCTCACTGCTTTGAAACTCTAGGGTTCTGACACCATATTTCGCAGGATGGCAGAGAAGGCCAGACAAATAGTTTTTTCCTCAGAACGTCAAGCCGTCGAAGGCAGAGAGCCTGATTAGAGAGAGAGAGAGCGAACGTCTTGATCGATTTGTTCTCCAAGGCAATGGTGCCGAGGAAGGAGTGAAGTGGTGTGGGCGTAGGGGTGCCCAAGCTTGACCCCGTGTTCGGTGGGATGCAGTTTGCATGAGTGGCTGTCGAGGCTCCGAGGTGTCAAATAAGGCAGCCCACAAACCCAAGTCCAGCAAGAGTCAAGAGGTAGTTCACTTGAGACGGAACATGGCCGCATGACCTTTAGCTTTAGCTAGCGTTAGACTTTTGCGTGCCTTGCGTTTGGGCCATGGAAGCGGTGGATGAGTTGGCAAAGATCAATGACCAGCTGAGGACCCGAGATTTCGGCTCAAATAACATTGAACCTTAATCAAGGCTTTGATGTTACAGCCCCTCAAGCTCCTGTCTGCCCTGCCAGTAATTTTCAGTCAAGTTACTGTAAGCAATTCTGACTCAGTCTGTGTTGAAGTTCCAGGAAGCAAGGTGCTGGCTCAACAGGCTGACCGAGTCAAGAACAACGACTAGTGACTATTGTTGACCAGGATTTTCTGCCGATTTTGTTTCCACGCAGATCAAACTTGGCCAATATCTTGCCGACAGAGAGATGCTGCGAGGCCCATGGCTGGCTTTGGAGTCCAACCCGCAGATCTTCACTGACTTTGGCCATAGGAACTCTCCTGAGCAGTGCAGTTTGCAAGAAAAGGGCAGTCGATTCGGCGTAAGACGAGGTTGAACAGTCCTTCAGCCCAGGATTGGCCTTCCTACTACCTTGGAATTCTGTGATGTCCTTGGTTTGGATCCTGAGTTGCTGCAGCTGGTGCCTCCTGCCGTGGCCTGTGTGCTGCTGTTCCCGTGCTCGGAGCAAACAGTTGTCTTGTCGAGGGATGGAAAGAGGATTTGAGAGACGAACTGAACCGATTCCATAAGGATAAAATGGAGAAGTTACTGGCGAAGTGTTCCAGCCAGCCTCCTTTTGCTGAAGTGCAGTGAGTGCCTGTGAAGTTTGCTTTACTGAACCTGCTTGCGCTTGTGCTGTCACAGGAGCCCATTTATGCAGCTCGACGAGTGCAGGATCTGGCCTTGCGGGAGGGCAGGTGCCACCTTGGAAACATGGCTGACTTATGCTGATTTAGGCCCTTAGGCCTTTTTCCCGTCCGTGTTTGCTCTTCCAAGTCGGGCACTTGCACCCAGGCGCATCGGTTGCAACAGAACCTGACCTCTTCTTTCTGAAGCAGGTTCGGTTCTGACCGTGATTGGCTGATTGTTCTCTCGGCCAGTGTGGAGCACCAGTTAGCACGCCGTGTGTGCAGGTCATTGGCTTTGGCAATGCTTGCGGAACAATAGCATGCTTGTTCCCTGGCACGTGGAAGAATCTCATAAGATTTGTAGGGCCCATCATTGGACGCCTTACTGTCTATCCCATCATGGGCAGTTTCTGTTGATAGCGGCATCACACAAGCTGCTCTTGAATGCTCTTGATGAATGTGGGCTGATGTTGTCATAGAGTGCTCAGGCATGCCATTTCCAACTGCAGAGCCTGGATTTCGTTGCGTGGTCCTTTGGAGCCTTGGAAGCTCTTGAACTGCAAGAATAAGCAAATGGTGGATTCGAATACATAGTCTCAATGATGTGATCTTTGCAGTTGTCATGATGTAGTGGATGGATGGATTGAAAAGGCCTTGGATTATTATGGGAGTCGAAAGACGTCACAAGGAGACAGGCTCCAAGACAGGCTCTTTGAGCCTACTATTAGGTTGGAGGCAATTGCTACTAGAAACAAAGGAAAAGGAAGACAGGTCTAATCTAATATAGTTTGCTAGCAGGTTGTAGGCCATCGCCATGATTTCATGAACCTGGTGCCAAGGAGACCTTCGTTTGCTCACAGGCCTCGGCAAGCCCAAAGCATCGTGGCGAGGCTCTTCTGGAAGACACCACCTTAAGGTGGCGTACGGGGTTGAGAATTCGATGACACATGAGTTTGGAATGCGGTGACAAGTGTTCAAGACACACGGAACCTTTTCCCATGTGCTTCCGCCAGCAGTTCCAGGTCGTCCTCAGAATCTGCTGCTGCATCCACGGCAGCGCAGACTGCCTTGCCAGATCGGGATGGCCCACCACTGGACCATCACTTTGCGGCGTTCGTGCGTTCCAGGCCCACACTTCGGGGTGTGAGGGCCGTTTAGAAAGGTATTGAGTTTGGAGCAATGTTTTCCCTTTCGCAGATTCTTTTGAGTTCAACTGAATTATGCAGATTGATTCATTTGAGGGTTGTGGTTATTGATGCATTTTGTGCGCTTCTTCGGGGTGCACGGCGCACATGTCATTTTCTCAGGCAAAATCGTCTCGTTGAATTGGACCCTCGGCAGATATTGGTTTAGAAAGCCGTGAGCAGAGCAGGTGCAGTCCCAATCTGCCGAGGATGGGACAAAGCTTTGCCCAATAGATCATGGCCCTACATCACATGGAACTTTTCTGACTGATGTGGCGGCTGCAGTGCAGCGAAACTTCATGGAGATTGATCCGGAGCTCGGGCCAAGCTGTTTTTCTTGACATTTGATAGATGTGAGATGCAGTTCATAATGCCATCTACTTGCTTCGCCGTAGCGAAAGACAAGCTCTGAACTGCAGGAATCGCTTGAATTCTCACTCTTGGCGCTTTGTGAGAGGGGAGAGGTATCGAAGTAAGATCGCCTGCATAACCGAAAGAAAGGGGGTGCTTCAAAGCTTCTGGTGCACATGCACTTGAGCCTGAGATTTCTGCGGAGCTTCGATCCGATTGACAATTTGTGAAGTTGAAAGGTGTGTTGGGCTTCGTTCTTTTTATTCTTTTCAGTGGGCCTGACATGTTTGTTAGGTTGTAAGAGGTAGCAGCGGGAATGCTGGATCCGTTGATTGAAGCCGCCAGCTTGCGTGGGGGTTCTGGATCCCAACCAGTACGGCATCAGAAAGCCCTCGCCTCAGCATATGGCAAGGCCTTTGGCAAGGCCTTTGTCACTTTGTATTCTCTTTTGCCGTTTCTGATTTCTGCCCCAGGAACTTTTTGACCGGCAACATCTCTGAAAAGGTGTGACTTTATGGATGCATCACCATGAGGAAAGTAGCATAAACACGGCTCCAAGCTGTTCATGGCCCACCTTGCGTGTTGCAAACATGTGGGGCGAAAGTCAGGCAGAGCGTGGTGGGATTCACTTTTTGGGTCCGCTCAAGACACTTAGCTCGAAATGAAGATGATTTCTGATTCTCAAGAGGTCGATTTCGCAATCTTGGTTTCCCTCTGAGGACATTTTTCACTGTCCCAGCTGGACAGGCTCGGGACCGACTCCCATGCGGCTGGTTAGACTCGGTTAGACATCATCAAACAGGTTCTTAGATGTTGGTTGCTTGCGCCCGGCGCATGTTTGGAAATCGTGTTTGTTTGACATCATGTGCTTGTCACGAAAGCTAGCTGTAGCTAGCTGGAGTCTGTCTTGCTTTAGCAAGGAGGGTGGGAGCTGAGGACCTGAGTGCTATTATCTGATATATCAGGAACAAGAGACAGGAACAAAAATGCAATGTTCGACATGGTAATCTATCCCCTCGGAAGCGACCTGTCGTAAATATAATATATATATATGCATTCTAAATGATTCTAAGGAAAACAGACTTGCCCCATGGCTCAAATCATCGGAGAGCATTGAATTGGAGCATCATAGGATTTAAACTTTCCTAAAACCATAAGAGGCTCACGAAAACGTTCCCCAGGAGAGAATTGACGTGCTTCACAAAACAAACTCTAGGTATGTATCCCCTCGGGGAACACCTTTCGTAATTATGCACTCTTTCTGAATATTCAAGAGGGTTTCAGGTCGCTGCTGCTGCTTGGTCGCTGCTGCTGCTGCTGGCATCTCATCTGCGCCTGGCTCTTGGCTGCTTGCTGGTTGCTGCTGCTTGCTGCTTGCATGCTTGGTGCTGCTGGGTGCTCTTGGCTGCTTGCTGGTTGCTGCTGCTTGCTGCTTGCATGGCTGCCTGCTGCTTGTTGTCTGCTCCGTTTTGCTGCTGTTGCTGTTTGGGGTTGTTGGCTGCTGTTGGTGCTGAAGAAAGCCAATTCGTTAGAACCGAGAGTAGTTGCATTCCCTCTGAGTCGTGAAACGATGCTAATACTGATGCTAATTTCATTATATCCTTAAGAAGCTTGTACAGGCATGTACCCACCCCACAACCCAAGAGTACAAATCAGAATGCACTATCCGCTATCCATGCAGATCAAAAGATGATACTTACTTCACACATGAATGACAGAACCCAGTAAGATGTTTGAACGGGCTGTTTGCTTCACTCATGGTAGTCCGCGTTCCATGTTCGAGCGACAGGGAGCATGCACAAGCGTTGCGACGGAGTCTTCGGTCGCTGACACATGTTCGCATACAACCCCTAGATGTCAATCATGCACACCGCTGCTAGCTGCATCGTCAGCATTTATTCGTGAAAAAAACAGATATATCAGATATATCTGTCTTTCCACGTCGCCCTTCTACAATTACTCAGGCAGCACCTATATGTGCTATTGTTCGAGACCAAATGTTGGGGCACGAAAGACTCTAAGGAAAGCTCACTCTTTCCCTGCTGCTGCTGCTACTGCTTGGTAGCTGGTGGTGCTGCTTGGTAGCTGCTGCTGCTGCTGCTGCTGCTGCTGCTTAGTAGCTGCTGCTGCTGCTGTTGCTGCTGCTGCTTGGTAGCTTGGTAGCTGCTGCTGCTGCTGCTTGGTAGCTGCTTGGTAGCTGCTGCTGCTGCTGCTTGGTAGCTGCTGTTGATGCTGCTGCTGCTGCTTGGTAGCTGCTCCTGCTGCTGCTGCTGCTGCTTGGTAGCTGCTGTTGATGCTGCTGCTGCTTGGTAACTGCTGCTGCTTGGTAGCTGCTGCTGGTAGCTGCTGCTGCTGCTGCTGCTGCTTGGTAGCTGCTGCTGCTGCTGCTGCTGCTTTGCTGCTGCTGCTGCTGCTTGGCTGCTGCTGCTGCTACTGCTGCTGCTGCTGCTGTTGCTGCTGCTTGGCCGCTGCTGCTGCTGCTTGGCTGCTGCTGCTTGGCTGCTGCTGCTTGGCTGCTGCTTGGCTGTGCTGCTGCTTGGCTGCTGCTGCTGCTGCTTGGTAGCTGCTGATGCTGCTGCTGCTGCTCCTGCTGATGCTGCTGCTGCTGCTTGGTAGCTGCTGCTGCTGCTACTGCTGCTGCTGCTTGGTAGCTGCTGCTGCTGCTACTGCTGCTGCTGCTGCTGCTTGGTAGCTGATGCTGCTGTTGCTTGGTAGCTGCTGCTGCTGCTGCTTGGTAGCTGCTGCTGCTGTTGCTTGGTAGCTGTTGTTGCTGCTGCTGCTGCTTGGTAGCTGCTGCTGCTGCTGCTGCTTGTAGCTGCTCCTGCTGCTGCTGCTGCTGCTGCTGCTGCTTGGTAGGTGCTGCTTGGTAGCTGGTGCTGCTGCTTGCTGGCTACTTCTGCTGCTGCTGCTGCTGCTGCTGCTTGGAAGCTTCTGCTTGCTGCCGCTGCCGCTGCTGGTTACAGTTATTGTTGTTGTGGCTGTTGCTGCTGCGGCGGTTGCTGGGGCGGTTGTGTGTTGCCATGTGTTGGCTGTGTTGGGGTCATATTGGGGGGGGCGGCGTTGGCACTCTGCTTTTCGCTTGGCCATGGCATGTTGCGATTCCCGGCCAGGCTTTTGCTGCCTAAAGAGCCCCAGCGTTGTTTATTTGCCTAGCTTTCGCCACCCCCCCTCTGGGCCACAAGTCATATATACACCCCCCATTTTGGCAAGTTCGAGTCAACTGGCCAGCCCTTTCAACTTGCACTTATCCCATTTGCTTCCCAGCGTTCGTAGAGTTTTGTGCTGCGCGCATGGCCGCAGGCCCAGTCCTGCCCCATAGATCAGCCCCAGATTGCTTCAGTTGCCCGATCACATCGATTGTTTGTGTTCATGGCCGTCCTGAGAAATTATATATACCCCTTCTCAATAGCCGATAGCTCTTGGGAGCCATGTCAGGTGGCCCACGTACTGTGTATCACTATATGCACTGAAGACAACCATGGGTCGTCCATGTTATAGTCATAAAGTTTAGGAACCAAATCAGCGCGAGCTATCCTGCGTCCATGTGTAGTAGCTTAAGTAGCTAGTACCTTACTCCCTTATTTATTAGTATATTATATATATAAGTAGTAGGAGCGGATTTTATAAAGTTTTTTGAGTGCCAACCCTTTGGACCTTTTGGACGACATCAGCGGCAAGAGAGCCTCAGGGGACGCTGCAGTGGTCCTGGAAGTCCGGCGATCGGCCTCCTGTCCAGACAAGAACAGGACACCAAACGTACTGGAGGCTGTCAACGTCCAAGTGTGAAAGAGTTTGGCTGGTGTATCATGCCGTGTGGATGAACACTAAGTGATTGTGTCATAGGAGCAGATCCACAAGATCCTGACAGCGGTGGTCAGTCTTTGCCCCAGTCTTCGCTTCATTGACTCGTGCCCATTCCGTGTTTGCCTCGATTTGAGTGTGAACCTGAGGCCCATCTCAATCTCCTGCGCCGTGCAGGTCAGGTTTGTACCTGACATGATTCAGAGGCAATGGGAGGGGACATTCCGTGTAAAGGTACATGTGTATGCATTATGTATATAATAATTATATATACACCACATCCCAATGCCCAAGAGCATTTGTCTTCACGTACACTTTGCCCTTGAAGCCTCCGATGTCCGTACAGGGTCTATTTGTCGTTCGGCAGCTTTGAGGCAGCGAGGCCACACAGAATTGAAGATCACCACTTGGTACGCTCAGCTTATCTCTTGGTCTCATCACATCTTACTCTACACATATGCATTCTTTCCTAGTTCCGACATTCTATCTACCATCGTTGGAGAATGCCTCTTTTTGGCGCTTCGCGCCTGTGGCAGGCAACGCTATCTCCTTCTGGCCGGCAATGTCGTGTCTCGACAAGGGAAGATAGTGACGAGACGCGGTAGGTTTGGCCGCTTCAATATCATTTAATACACTTTTTGCATCTTTTTGCTGGAACACCCTATCTTCAATTCATATGGAGGTTCGAAGGTTCCTCTTCAGGTGAGCAACACTGCTCAAGAGTACACCCCCACCGACTTCTGGTCAAAGCGTGATGTAATTGCTGCCAGGACCTGTGTGCCAAATGTCCAAGACAAAGACATTTCGCTTGTGGATGCTCATTTTGTCTTTCCAGGATGCTTTACAAGATCAATCACACCCTTTGGCGTCCTGACCTTGCAAAAGCCGTCTCAGCACAGCAAACAGATGTGTAGTTCAAATGCTTTGTTGCTCATGCATCCTGCACTTCGACTTCATCGTGGATCGCACAACTAAGATCAAGGGTATGTTGAAGCCATGCAATTTGAGATCATGAAGGCGTGGCCGTAGTGTTTTGCTGTCCATTCTAGCAATGCCGGCCAAATTTTTGCTTTGGTTCACAGGTCGATTTCGCCAAACAGTTTGAGGATTCGATTACCGCTGTCCAGGCCTCCAAACGTTCTTTCATTCCACTGTGTGAGTTCGTCTCAGATTCCAGGTGGCGGAGCAGGCCAAAGTGGTGAATGAGTACGAGCAGCAGGCACCCCGTGCATCGCCCGTGCACCGCCCGTGCACATGCTCAAAGAAAACGTCTTCATTCGGCGTTGAGACCTGCAAAATGCAAGGTTCAGCAGGTTGTGCAGCACATCTCCGTGTTGCAATCCGAAAATCAGGCCAACCTGGGTGGATTATATAAATTGCAACTGTGCCACGCCGGGAAGATCCATCTGAGCAAAATTGTCTTTTTCTCCTAGTGCTTCGAGCATTCAGATTGCTCTCAAGGCCATATCAGCTCACATGGGTTCTCATAGACTTCACAATGTAACAAGGTAAAGATTCATTTTTGGGACTCTTTCGGCCGTTAGTTCCACGCGGCAGGCTGCCATCGCCAACATCTCGGCGGGCGCGGAAGCCAAAGCCAAGGCCACCCGGAATGGCACGAAGCATTGGCATTCCAAGAAGCTACTAGGGGCTCCTGGCCTTACTACTAGGAGCAAGGACGCTACTAGGGACTCCTGGCATCGCTACTAGGAGCAAGTAGCTACTTGTAAAAAGAAGTTACTAGGGGCACGGCTGAGACGTCGAACGCCGACGTAGACCCGACCGACCGGATGCTGAGAGCTGTTCAAAACGATTGAATGTACTCTTAGCGACTTCACGGATGATTAGGAGATCAAGGCTGCCGCAAGGAGAGATGCCTTCAACCTGAAGCAGGGCATGAAGGCAGGGAAGCCAAAGAAAGCAAGATAACTATTTGGCAAGGCATGAGGACCTGTTGCACAGTTGGAAGCCTTACCCCAGGCACAGAAGTACGCAGAACTCAGAAAAGCCCTTGAGTCGAAGAGCTCAGAAACATGAAGCCTGTGTGCAAATCTTCACGGCCTTGTCGAATGAGTGGGTTGGATCAAAGGCTGAGTCCTTCGCAGATGGGCGAGTACTTCAAAGTGAAATCAGTTCAAGGGCAGAGCAGCCAGGGCAAGGCTCGGCATAGGTGCTGCAGAGAGCTTCCTTCCTTCCTTCCTTTGTTTGTCATGCTGCCCGCATGCAGGTGGTGGTTGGACTCCCGAGTGTCGGAAAGTCCTCCATGAAGGCTTGGACCACGGTGATTTGTTAATGACACGTTGTGCGAACTCACACATCCCTGTTGGGAAGCTGCCAGTCAGACCAACTGTGAATGTCCAAAGGAATCCAAAGGACATCAAAAGACCATGCCATCGCTGTTAGGTTGGAGGCCATCGCTTTTAGTAAGTCAAAGGAAGATGGTTCTTTTAGTACTAAAGTCAAAAAACCAGGCACAAGCGCACTTCTAAGACCATGAGGCTTTGAGCTTCTGACATCCAAGCTTTTGGCTGGTCAGGATCATTCTGTAAGCGGCGAGCTTTAACTGAGATACTTCCCGAATAGCAAGGCGGTGCACGGTCAAATGCGGCGAAATTGCCCCAAGTTTAGACAGTGTAGCCGCAGGCAATTGCAGTTTACTATCTAGGCATAGACACCTCAGCGCCAACCCGATGCTTCAGTGATGTACAGATGAAGGATGCTGGTGTAAAAAAGGGACCGAATAGATGAGACATGCCATGTATATACTATGCATATATACATATTAGGTTCCTTATTGACGGTTAGGTAGGTCTGGAATAAGGAGGTCAATTTAAGATTTGCCGAGCATTCGTTTTCAGTTGTGATCACAACCAAGATGGCAATGTTCATTGCCATTTTGGCTCAAGATCTTGAGCCTGCTCTCTTTTTTCTCCGCGGATCGCTCGTGGGCCTGGGAAATGTCGTACCGCGGTGGTCATCGTGGAGATCGTGGAGGGCAGTGGCCAAGCGGCCGTGGCTCAGGTGGAGCTCAGGGGGCCTCGTTCAGCACACCCGGAAGCAGTGCAGCTCACAACCCGTTCGAGGTGAAGATCCCCAAGTTCCTTGAGTGGCTCGAGTACAACGAAGAAGATCAGAGCGAGAACTCGATCATCATGGTCGACGATCGCGACTGGAGGATGGTGTCACCCTTCCAATCGTGGTTGACCAAGGAGATCATGTCGAACGCAGCAAGCTCGATCAATGTGCTGACAGAGCGGGACCAGGTCAAGCCGCCCAGTTCTGGGTTCCATCTGTCGTTGTTTGCCAACTACACGCTGGATGGGATCAAGGCAGTGCTGGTGGTGTCGATCGACACGGAGACGGGCGCCACAAATGCGGCATGGGATCGCCACACTGCAACAGCTCTGGCACACCCCGCTTTTCAGCCTTTCACGTGGCCCTTGCTCCGTGACACTTCGGCCTCGTACACTGATGTCAAAGTGTACAATGGGAATGAGATCCTCTTTCACTGGATCTTCAGGGGCTATCGCGCCGACACGGACTTGACAGTCCAGCAGCAGTTCGTTGACGAGGTGCTGGTTCGTGAGGCGAATAGGGGAAAGCCTAGGCTCTCCATCGTGGTGGCTTCGTTCATGGGATGGAGGGTCACTGTTTTCTCGTTCGAGTGCGGCGGCCGGACCTATTCGGTTGGGCCAAATGGAGCTGTCGTGGCAGGTGACCATGCTCGCTCGAGATTTGAGCTCAGGGTTTGCAGCAGATCCTCACCTGACGCAATGGGCAATGACGCAGATCGAGTCGAGTTCCGTTTCAGGGACGCCAACAACCGGCTCGACCTCAAGTGTGCTCGCACTTCGGTTCCGGGGACTTGGCTCACTGTGTCACACATCTCCGGGCCGGCTCTGATTCAGACCATCCAGAATGTTCGCCAAGCTCGGGCGCGGGTGGAGGGGCCTGAGCACACTGAGCAGTTCGCTCAGCTTGCAGCAGTTCACCAAGCTTGGAGGGAGAATGCGGTCGCATCGACTGCGCAGGAGGTGGGCTCGATCACTGACTTCATCGGCGACCTCGAGAAGGGGAATTTCCACATCACGTGCACCTCCAAGCTCTGGGTTGCCGTGCCGGAAGTCGTGAACCAGCGAGCTCTCGCTGAGATGCAGCATGAGGGAATGGGTCGAGTGGCTCCGATCGGCCCACCAGCTCTCACTGGTGCAGCATGGGGTCATGCGGCTGCTGAGGCCAATTCGAGCAGGGAGGCATCGGTCGCTGGCCTATCCACGCAGGCTCAGGCGGACTATGAGCTCTCGCGCCGGGCTCTCAACAAGGCTGAGGTCTGGTCCACTGGGCATGAGCCTGATGACGAACGTGATCAGGCACGCCTGGACCGGAGGTACGCTCGCTCCTCGGCAGCCGTGACGCCTGGTGTTTTCGCGGCTCAGATCTCTCAGAAGAGGTTCAATGAGACCACAGCCACGATCGAGGAGTTGGATCTGCCGCCTGCCGACCTGGAGCTGCCGCATCCGGCTCCAGCCAAGTCGCCAACTGTGGTTCCGGTTTCTCAGCCGTATACACAGGCATCGGCTGCTCAGCCAGCAGACGAAAGCCGGGACTCGGCACCGACGACGGATCCGGTCTCGTTGGGGCCGACCACAACCAGCTCGTGATGAGCGGAGGACCCGATCGTGGTCTTTATTTTTCCAATGGCCAGATGGCGCCAGATTCGTTTTTTGAAGGATGGAAAACAGCGAAAGTGCAGCCTGGCATGATCATGCATTGGTTGCGCATTCACTGTTCGAGCACTTGTTTTTTGATATCTTAATATAATATAGTATTTAGGGTTGATACCTTGGATAGTATATATATATATGGTTTGTTGATGATGTTCATGGCAGTTTGATGTGGGACGATCGTCCCAACCAGGCCGGGGTTCGTTCGGCACCAGGCCACGGTGGGGGGCTCCACTTTCCCGGGTTCTTCGATTCCTGGTTCCTTGGGCCCTCCCCCGTTTTTGGGTTCGGCGACCCTGAACTCTGGTCTGTCGCTTTCGGTCTTTCGACGATCGTCGGCCGCGCTCACGTGTGTCGATCGGCACGCTGCAGGTCAGATCCTCAGTGGGTGGTGGCGACCAAGATCCCTGGTTGTCGCCGCCGGGGGTGGATCGGGCGTTCGGTGTGTTGGGGACGATCGCGCGGTTTGATCGGCCGCGGTCTTCGTTTTTGGCTGGCGATCAATTGGTGTCCCGAGGTTCAAGACGCGAGGCATAGGCTTGAACTCGATCGTTCAGTCATGTTTGATCTTATGATTTTGTTCATTGAACACTTCATGATCATGACTTTATCGGTCAACTAGGAGTTTGAACCTTGCTCACTCACCTATCGTCCATGGATCGTTCGTTTGCCGCTTTTCTGCGTTTGCCGATCTTCGATCAGAACTTCGCTCGAGCTCTGGAAAGACTGGGTTTGGCGAGATCGGAGTTTTGGTTGGCGCTCGATCCGAATGAGCAAGCAGATGAACAGATCGCGAGGTTCGTAGGGGTGATCGACGCCGATCAAAGAAGACAAAGATACTGTGCTCTCGGTGATCGATTGTGTACCTTTGCTCCATGACATGCTCCATCGAGCGAAGGATCGGGTCATGGGCGAGATCGCCACCGACCTATAGGCTATGGAGAGAGCGGGGGCGCGATGGCCCCTCTGTCGGGGCTCTCCGGGTCTTCGCGCGTGCTCGCCGCAGATCCCGTGGTGGGCGCGCCGAAGAAACCCAGGTTGAACTGCGCCGCAACTCCCGTTCATTCATTGCAGTCGGCCGAAGAGAAAGAACGTAGCAAGTGGGCAGATCGCCTACGGATCATCGCTGGCAAGGCCGGGGCGCACGCCGAGATCAACCGGTGTGTGCTGGGCGGTGATGCCAGCGCTCGTGATGAGCGAGCGTTGAGGTCTCTGGTTTTTCAAACTGGGGCATTTCGCACGATCCGTCAGAACGTGCTAGTGTGGGAGAAGATGGAGCGATGGGCGCTAGATCACAGCTGCACCGTCTACCCCCTCACCACTGAGGTGTTCACCAGATACTGCGTCTGGTTAGAAAACCAGTCATGCGGTCCGGCGGTCATCCCTGCGCTCACCTACGCTGTGCGTGGTCTGCAAGAGGTTGGCGATGGCTCCGCCAGATGTGAAGTCACCTCAGGTTGGGGCCTTGATCGAAAAGGTCTATACCGACCGAGGCAAGGAGCTCAAGGAAGCGCCGCCCGTTCCGATGCCGGTGGTGCTAGCTCTCGAGCATCTTGTGGAAGTCCTGATCAGTGAGGGAAAGATCCCAGCAGCCGTTTTTGTTTGGTGGGCGCAAATTTTAATTTACGCGTCGCTCAGATGGGACGACGGTAAGCGTGTGGCGCCCACATCTCTGAATTTCACGTCAGATGCTTTGCTCGGCGTGATCTGGCAAACTAAGGTAGAGCGGAGAAGAAAGGGCACGAGATTTGCCGTGCCGTTCTGCTCTCTCTCTGGTGTGCCATGGCTCGAGCTAGGCTGGCGAGTTTTTCAGGATTTTATCGATGATCGTGATTTCTTCCTTTGGGATCTCTCTAGCGAAACCAAGTTCGACAGCGTTCCAATTTCATACCCGCGAAGTGCCATGTGGCTGCAATTCTTTTTGCCACGGGCGCTCGAAGTCGCCTGCCACGATCGTGTCCTGACACCGGATCAGGTCGAATCAGTCGGGCCGTCGTGCGGACAAATCACATGGCATTCCATGAGGGTAACCATGTTGGACGCTGCCGTTCAATCCAAAGTCGATGACAAGTATATTGCCCTCCAAGCTAATTGGAAAGATCCCTCACAACTTGTTCTTAAATACGCCCGGAAACGCAAACAACTGTCTGCTCAAATGGTCAAGGATCTGGCATCCCAGCTCCGCGAAGATTGGAAGCCGGATGACGATCAATTCGAGGTAGAGGACCAACCAGAGGTGGTCGAGCCCGAGATTCCGGAATTCGTCGTTCGCTCGACCTTGCCCTCGAAGGCACTGGTGGCCTCCGATCTTAGATGTCACATCATGTTAGGCAGTGTTAGCGAAACGCATACAGTGTGCGGCCGCATGAAGTTGTCGGATACAACGTCGTTCGGCCCCGAAGCTCCGGGCATGATTTGTCACCATTGTGACCAGAAGCTCAAGTTGTATAATGCCAAAGGCACGTAGATCGTGCCAACTGTTTTTTCATATTGCGGGAAAACAATGAGCGCACATTGTGCAGGACGCACGTTTGCTTGATTTGATTTCACTTCGGATGTGTTCACTATCACAGTCAGTGAGCATCAATTTCTGAGCATTTGTGTTTTAAAATTTGATTTCGCTTGCAATGTGTCCATTTTCACAGTCAGTGCTCATCGATCTCAGAGTTTGTTTGTGTTTATTTGCACAAGACATCCCTGGATGGGAACCTGGCTCCAGACTGCTTGCTCAAGCAACCAAAATGGTCGACCGCACCGCGTACGCGGATGAAGCTCACACGCCCAAGATTGCCCTCCGACAGATCTTCGGGCGCCATGCGCTGCGTGATGGGCTCTGCCGCGCAGCGGCTGATGCAGGTCTCCTGTCAGTCGAGGTCTTCGCCATGCTCGGCGACACTGCTGACAAGGCCAAAGACTCGATCCGGACAATGATTCCGGAAGCCACTTTGGGGGGTTCCCCAGCCGAGCGCGACCTCTCGGTCATGCAGCTTGCGGCAGTTTGGTTAGCCTGCCAGGCTCTCCAGACGCAGTTCGCATCCAGACGAGCTCGCATGGAAGAAGATCCAACCAAGGTGCCAGAAATGGCACAAGAAGATCATGCGGAATTTCGGGCACGGTTCGTGCGGACCCATCCAGATGTCATTTTGATCGATGCCAGGGAACCGCACAAGAAGTTTGTTGAGAAGCTCAACAGAGATTTCTTGGTCCAAGGCATGGTTCCCTTCTACACCTTGGCAGAGGTCAGAACCCGGGCAGACACGATTGTGCAGAAATCCGGCCTCACCAAGAACGCAGAAGATTTGCTGACAATTGCTCGAGCAGAAGAACCGGACAGTGTCACAGACGTGAGCACTTTGTTCAACCGAATTCACGCTCTGTTCATGGCGCTCGAGTACCTGAACATCTGCCAGTACTCACGCAATGCAGGGCCGCTCGACTACCTGCAGCAGCTGGAGCAGTTCCGGCAGGACTGTCCGGGGCTCCCCTATGTCATGGCGGCCGATTCGGCCATCCGCAAGAAGGTTTTCCGCCTTCAGGCGGAGCAGCGGGAGGCTTTCAACTCCTACTCTGCAGCTCTTCGCGAAGTGCTCACCAACCACAAATACTTGTGGAATGATGCACGCACAAAGGCAGCTCTCTCGAAGCCAGAGGTCCGCAAAGAGGCAGAGAGCCAATCCGACAAGGTCGAACACGTCGACAAGTCAGCAGCCTCTCCCAGCAAAAAGAAGAGGAAGCGCCAGATCGAGCGCCTGCGAGAGCAGCTCAAACAGAGCTCAGCCAAAGGGGCGAAGGTCGATCGCCCTACCCCTCCGGACAAAGACAAGCGAATCCCGTCGTCGGAGTGGCAGAGCATCACCACAGCGGCTCAATCCGTCAAGGGTGCCAAGAGATGCCACTACTTCAACTCCTCCATGGGCTGTTCTATGGGTGATAAGTGCCGGTTCAAGCACGCATGTATGAAGTGCGGTGCCGCTCACCCCATGGTGGGCAACCACTGAGCACCTGAAGTTCCAACGGCCCCACCGGCGAATGATGAGGGCATCTCCGCCTCTCTGACAGATCCGGAGTGGAAGTGGGGCTCTATGGCAGTGCCCAAGTCGGGCAAGTTTTTCCTTGAGGTTTTTGTAGGAGAGGCAGTTTTGACCAGGGCTATGTCAGCTCTCAATTTTCCAGTTCTACCACCCATTGAGCTCACTCCGCATGAGTTCGTCCGCCAGCCAACTGATGTCACAGATGCTGCAGTCGTAGCTCACGTCCAGTTGCTGATGGAACAAGGGTTCATCTTTTACATCCATTTTGGTACTCCGTGCTCGTCATTTAGCCTGGCACGGAAAAACGATGGGGGCCCTCCTCCGCTGCGCTCGCAACGGGCGTTGTGGGGTCTGCCTCATCTTTCAGTTCGTGACCAAGCAAAGTTGGAGATCGGGAACCATTTGATGCAGCTCACAGTCAAGTTTGCTCTAATAGCTCACCGGTCAGGCACTCATTGGTCCATTGAAAACCCACTGGGTTCCTACCTGTGGGCCATGCCGCCAATGGTTGAGCTCCACAGGCAGACAAGCTCCAAGCGTGTGGAATTTGACATGTGCCGTTTCGGCGCTCCACACCTCAAGCCAACCGCTCTGCTTACATCACTCAACCTCGATCAGCTAGCACAGCGGTGTGATCAGCATGTGCGCCCACACCACCATGAGGCGCTCCATGGCACCGTGATCGTCCAAGGCAAGCAGGTCTTCAGAACCCGCCTCGCTCAGGTCTACCCGGCTGAGCTTTGCCGCCAATGGGCGGTGGCAGCGGTTCACCCAGAAGACCCCCTGGCTCTCACGTTCACCATGGTCACCCCAGCCAGCGAGCGGAAGCGTCCGCTCGGACAGCCAGTTCCATGGCGGCCACACCGGCAACAGCTTACAGCAGAGAAAGCAACTTCAGCCGGCTACCAGCTCAAGCGTTCGGCTTTGCCTCCATTGCTCGACACCGAGCTGGAACCAGGCACCGCTGTTCAGCAAGCCTTGAATACAGTTCATCCTTTTTCCAGATCCACAGCCATCGAACCGGATCTCCAGGAGCCCCTGGCTCTTGCGGTGTACCACCCCGAGTGGCTCCGGACACAACGCGCTCGTGCTCTCCTTCACTGGGAGGCTCGGGCTCACCAGTTGTTGCCCGCCACGGATGCAATTCTGCGGGCCATTCCAGACACCTGGCTCCGCCACTTGCTGCGGGGGGGGCCCTGATGATCGTCCCCTGCAGCTGGGCAGTTGCACGCATGTTGCTCTCTGGCAAGCGCTTATGGTTGAGGCTAGGTCGATCGACACTGACTTGGTCGCTGAAATGACAGCTGGCATGTCTATTGTGGAGGACATCCACCCGGCTCATCGCTGGGCGCCCTACGACAAGCCCCGGGACTGTTTGCCGATCGACAAGCTTAAGGAGAGGGCCTGGGAATTCCGACAAAAAGTGCTCCGGAACGTTCTCAAACGCGAGGTTTCTCCACACACACAGAAGGTGTGGGATGCCATGCTCGAGGATGTCCAAGAAGGGCTCACCATGGGACCTTTCTTCACACAAGAAGAAGTCTCCAAGTTGGTCGGTGATCCCTGGATTCCCACTCAGAGGTTTGAAGTCGTGCAAAAGAACAAGGTTCGTGGAGTGGATAGTGCCACGGTCAATGGCATAAACAAAGCCACCAAGATCGTCGAGATGTGGCGGGCTGGGTGCTCGATGAGCGCAAGGCATATCGCCAAGTGGCTATCCACCCGTCTCATCGGCGCTGGAGTGTGATCTGCATGAGGGATCCCTCAGACGGACGGCCTGCTTTCTTTGTCATGGTAGGGCATTCGTTCGAATTAGTGTCGGCCGTGTACACCTATAACAGAAGATCGGCCGCAATCACTGACATCTTGAGGAGGGTTTTTCTTGTGGCGGCCTTCAACTTATATGATGACAAATATGGATTCGAGCCATCCTCGACCATAGAGTCGGCCTTCACTACTGCTCAGGCTGTTCATGTGTGGCTCGGAGCAAAGTTCGACCAGAAAAAGTTGCAATGCTCTAAGGAACCTACGATCCTGGGGGTCACTTATGACCTGGTAGCAATGCAACTGTTGATCAAGCAAGACAGGAAGGATGAGCTCGCCGATGAGATTATTGCCATCCTGAACTGCGGTGTGCTCACTCCCGGACAGGCGGGTAAGCTCAGAGGGAAGTTGTTGTTCGGCTCGTCGCAACTCTGGGGCAAGATCGGCCTCGCTTTCCTTAGGGCGCTGTCGGAAAGACAGTACTCCTTGTCTGCGGCCACCTCACTGCGGCCACCTCACTGAACCGAGCTCTGATAGCATCACTTCGTGAGTGGCTCTTACTGGTCCGGGAGGGTCCTCCCAGAAGAATTTCGGAGCTCGAGGCCAAATTGCCAGACGCAGTGCTTTTTACTGACGGAAGCTTTCCCGAAGGAAAGGCGGACAGCTTGCTTTTTCCTTGGATCGGGGGCGTGCTGTTCGCAAAGGGAAAGCAGCCGCTGCAGTTCGGCGCTCGAGTTCCCCAGAAGCTCATAGATAGGTGGTTGCCAAGGAAATCCCAAATAGCTATGGTCGAGATGTTTGCAGTCGTTGTGGCTCTTAGGACTTTTGACGCAGAAATCTTGAATAAGTGGATTTTGATGTTCGTGGATTCTGAACCGGTTCAGGGCGCCTTATAGGAGGGATACTCGGCTCGCGAAGACATGTGCGAGCACACCGGTGTGTTTTGGAGGCTGGCACTTGATGTGCGAGTCTTCGCATACATCGATCGAGTGTCCACAGACGCCAACCCGGCGGATCCGCCATCAAGAGACAAGATGAGCGTGGGCACCAGGCTCGGATGGAAGACGGTGCCTGCACAGTTCCCTGAGCTCAAGGGCAGCGTGGGTCAGAAAGAAGTGAGCAGATGAGGGAGCTCAGGACCATTGATTTTGTTGTTCAAGCTCATACCTCTCTGCTCAGAGATCCAGAT